ACACAATAGAGCGCGACTGTCTCAGGGGAGTGGTAGAAACAATGATTTAATAGTGGCAGAGACCATTACATCCACAAAGTGGCACCAGATGGCACTGCTGATTGTGAAAAATGACTTAATACTTTATATATGCACCATTGTACAAGTTTTTGTAATATTTGCTAGAGTAATGAATGTTCGAAAGATCAGGCTATAGTTTGTGCTGACTGTTACAGATTTGGCAAAGCGGCAGACTGTTACAACAGAAGAAAAATAAAGAATGGATATCTTTATGCAATCATTTTTATCAATGAAAAAATATTTTGTTACTATTTACAGAAAACAAACAAACCATATTTTCATCAATGTGGTGAAATAAGCTAAATAGGATGTAAATAATTTGTTTTAAATAATCATTTATGTTTTCTCCAGAATAAAGGTGTCAAAGATTCATCTCTTAAATATCTATTTTTTTTTATTTGAAGACGGACAAGGAAACTAGAGTTCATGAGGTGAGTTACTGTGTGGTCCATGATTTTATTAGTAAGGAAGCAGTTTTTAAAAGTTATAATTCATGTGACGAATTTTGTAAATTCTTGTTGTCGACAGAGCATAAGAATTATGCTGCTATAGCTCACACCATGAAATATTTTGATGTGTATTTTATTTTGAATTATATTATCCTGACCTTATTGTAAATGGTGGAAATATTATGGTTTACACCATCAAAAGTATGCAAATTAGAATCATCAACATTTATAATTTCATACCTATGGCCTTATCATTGTTCCATAAAAAGTTTGGTTTAGAAGAACTGCAGAAAGGGTATTTTCCACACCTTTTCAATATGCAATCAGACCAAGAGTATCGAGTACCTATATTGGCTGCTAATTTTTACTCTTCTAACACCATGTTAGCACCTTTAAGGTGAAAAGTTTTGGACTGTCACTGTCAGCAATTAGAAGAAAGGCACATCTTTGACTTTCAAGAAGAAATGCACAGGTAAGAAAATAATAATATGATTGTTTGAAGTTAATCTCTTCAAATTTTGTCGAAAGTTATAGTTACTATTCTTTCTTTTATCTTTAGGTATTGCTTATCAGATATACCCATACTTTAATGGTGCTGTCTTCAAATCAGGGTAGAGTTTCTCACAGAAGCAAATTTATACCACTAATATTCATAGTTCTCGTACCTAACCACGGATACTCTAAATCCAACAACTATAGCCAAGTAAGAATCCAGTGGTTAGACTATATAAAGAAATCTGAGGGGGTCAAGGTCCAGTATGCACTTAATGGTGGCAAGAGACAAATCCTGAATTATATAGTAAACGGTTTCTATAAGGAGCACAATAAAATCTACGAATTTTACAGATGTTACTACCATGGGTGCAATATGTGTTATGATTTTGATACAATGAATGTAGTTCTAAATAGACCCGCGAGGCTTGTTAGAAAATGTACGTTAGAAATACAGCACTGATGTACAAATTCATATTGATTTGGGAACATGAATTTAAGATGAAAATTAATGATTCAGACTTGATCCATTTCCTTAGGGACCACACAATAGTTTTTCACTTGGATATATGAGATGCCTTCTATGGATGGAGAGCCAGCATGACAAGACTTTTGTATGATATAAAAAAAGAAAGCAAGATCAAGTACATAGACTTCACATTCATATATCGATGGACAAACAAATACTATGTGTATATGGTTGAAGATTCTACCATCATAACAACAAATTTCACTGAATTCAAAATTGTTTTGGTATTATAAAATGTAAAATTCTAGCCCCAAGGAAACTAACTCTACTACCAAAGTTTTTATTTTAGAAATAATAAAATATTAACTTTTCGCTTATTGGGATCATGTGTGGAATCAAGATCACCACAACCATGTAACCACTGTGATGAAGAAAGTGCTTTCATTCGTACCCGAGTTACTGAAAAGTGAAAAAAAAGCAGTTGATTGCAGCTACTAGGTAATGAAAATATACAAGATTTTTAGCACTTTCCCATAAAATCCAGAGATTGTTTTAAGAATTATATTGCTACATTTACACATTACGACCCTTCCTGTCATTTGTATTTCCTAACAACCAAAGTTTATCTCAAAGCCATTTCAGTTAGACCTCTTAGACAGTAGTAATATGAGTTAAAAATCTGTGTAAGATAATCGTTGCGGATGTTTTGATTTACCATAAAGAAAGTTCGCTTATAGGTTATACCCTAAAACCACAAAGTTTTATGCATAAAGTTTCAATTGACCAAAAGAAAAAAAAAGAGCTCTAGACAAAGATTTGTGAAAATATCTAAGATATGTAAGAATAATAATAATTAAAGATTTACATAGATCCTTTCAACTTTAGCAGAACAAATTGACTTATAAAGCTAAATATGAAGTTATTGTAATTATTTAAAATTTTAAATAAGCATCCTTTTCAGGACGATAATTGTAAAATTATGTAAGATAAATCATTGGATATAATATTTACCTCGCTCAAATAATAGATAATGTGATAAAAACTTACATATGTAATAATATTGTAATAGTTGTCTTGTCTTGTTCTTTTAAGTTTTCACTTGTAAAAGTGAAACAGCAGGTGTGTTAAAATCCCATGGTACTGTAGAAACACTGTCTTTGGTTAAACCATCTGCCTAGAATGACGCTATCCTCAGTAACACCTTATAATAATAACACCATTTACCCATAGAAGCATTGCCAGCCTTTGTAAGGCATATGTAAGTGAAAACTACAAAGTAACTGTCAACATTTATAGAATTACATATTTTGTTATGAACTTATTTCCTGTTAACTTTTTAGGACATATATAGACAAAAGTAGGCTACAATGCTGATGACATGCTGATCACATAGTCAGACACACTTCGAGGAGGTAATCATCCTATTGAATTATCTGTCTAGTAGCACCATCCACCTAAAGAAAAACTTTCTTTGTAACAACATCTCCCTATAGAACGTTAATAACACCATCTGCCTAAAGTAACACAATGCTCAGTAAGACCTTGTATATATATCCGAAAACTGTATGCATATCTTGAGGAGAGTTGAAATCTGTATGCAGTCCTATGGAATTATAGCAATGCCATTTGCCTATAGAAACACCATCTACCTTTGTAAAACACATATAAGAAATGAAAACTATAAACATATGTCAAGATGAATTGAAATGTGTATGCTGTCCTGAAGTTTAATAATAACACTATTCACCTACAGAAACACCATCTCACTTTGTAAAACACATGTAATACAATTAAATATATAAATGAAAACAATAACATAAAGTTGAGGCAAGTTCAAATCTGTATGCAATCTTATGGAACTATTTGTCTATATAAACACTAACCACCTTTGTAAAACACACACAATACATCTAGTAAAACCATCCACCTGTAGAACCTTAGTAAGACCATCTGCCTTGAGAATCTTAGCAACACAATCCGCCTATAGAACCTTAATAAAACCACCTGCCTATAGAATCCTAGTAACACCATCCATCTATAGAACACTGTCCACCAACAGAACTTTGGTAACAGCATCTATACTAAAAGACCCTCTGGTATCAAACTATGATATTGTCAGTCCAAGCAGTACTCTCTGCTGCCACTTCGTGCTCTAACAACACGCCCTCGAGTGCCAATTCGTGGAACTATTGTGCCACCTTTCCTCAAGTCAGTAGCGACATCTGGTGCCACTTTGTGGACGTAATCGTCCCTGACACTGTGACGTCATCGTCTCTACCACTCCCATCCTCTGAGACAGTCATTCACTTTGTTGCCTGTTATGTAACCCCAGGCGTTGGCATGTTACGTAATAGTTATGCAACTCTCAGGCGCCAACATATTTTTAATAGTTACGTAACCCTCAGGCAGCAAGCATCTTTTGTCTGTTATGTAACTGTTGTGTATCTCCAGGCAGCAGCGTTCTTTTGCTGCTGAACATTCTTGATAACTACTTTATTGTATAAAAATTGCATGGATGCTACATTTACTCTATTTGAGAATGAAGAATATGTGGACAAGTTTTTGATTATTTAGATTAAACACACAAACATATCAAACTTAGTATGGAAAAAGAAGAAAGAAAAAAGACATAATTAACGCTTTTAAGCACCCTAGTCATCACAAAGGATTGAAAGTTTCAGACTTAAATCTACCATAAACCGACGTTTTCAGGTTCATATTTCAACTATAAAAAAATCCAAAGTCTTGTTCAAATATTTGTATATTAACTTACCAGTAACATAGAATTATTCAGAAAAGAATTAAACAAAATCAAATGGTATTTGAGTAAGAATGATTTTCCAATGAAGGTTATAATCAGCATAGTATAAGAGTACATCAGTAAAGCTTCCACTCCTAAAAAGGTGTATAATGTATCAAAACAGCATTTCATATAACTCTTCCATCCCCCTTTCAATCACCTTTTATATTACTTTTATTCACCATGACGATTAACTTAAAAACCATCATATACCAACTTAGTTGACTCTAACCACAAGTCTACAAACACCTTGCGAAATAATAACATAACAAGTGTATCGCGTTTGGCGCCAAATTATAACCACTTACGCCATGTCCATACAATTTAATTCGCATGGATGTTACTATCGGGACTAGATCTGGCACCTCGGACCAAGAATTTAAGAATTAAAACGTACTTTAATATTCAAAACTTGTTATACCCGGAATAAATACGTATACAAATATTGCAGAATTGAGTAAAAAACAAAGACAATTGTTCGCTTCATAAAAACGCTTCATTTATTAACGACCATAGTTTGGCCAGTAAAGACATCATCAGGTACAGACTCAAGTATCAATTACATATAAATATTGTTATCATATATATTAGATATAATAACAATATTCGATTTTCTAAGAGCTCTTACCTTAACAACAGGACTAATTAAACAGGACTCATAAAATAAATGCTAACCTCCCAATCTTAAGGCTACTCATCACACTAATAACAATAATTCAATGATGACGAGATATTATCCGGGAATCCACCTTTCAAGGAAATCACACCTCAGTGGTAATATCATAACTACGTTGAAGAATAAGTTTATTCATTATCTCAGAAAATCTATTCTTTTTCTCATTTTTCTGAGCATTTTCCATAGAAGATTATCTCCAAGAATTGAGCTGGGATCCCTCTGACCTCCCTCAGGAATCTCCCCCTTCAATCCTTTTCAAATTCCTCTCCTTAACACCACAATTTTACTATCATCAGGAGTTACCATCACCTGAGTCCATCATAGAATTATAGAAAATAACCACCCCAATCCTTACAAGCCCTTCTCCTTACTATCATCCTAGGCCTTTACTTCACTAGTCTACAAGCCTGAGAACATTGAGAAGATCCATTCTCAATTGCAGACTCAGCTTAGGGCATAACCTTCTTCGTAGCCACAGGATTTCACGGATTTCACGTAATCATCGGCACATATTTTCTCTCCATCTGTTTCCTTCGTTTGATGTTTTTTTCATTTCTCTCCTAAACACCACTTTGGATTCGAAGCTGCCGCTTGATACTGGCATTTCGTTGATGCAGTATAACGTTTCCTCTTTATCTCCATCTACTGATGAGGGTCTTATCTTTTTAGTATAAAAGTACATTTAGCTTCCAAGTAAACAGTTTAAAAATCTTAACAAAAATCAAATCATTTCTAGCTTCAATCATCCTATCCATTACCCTGAGCTTCATCCTCATCTTTTTATCCCTAACCCTGTAAACAAAATCCACTTTAGATAAAGAAAAAAGATCTCCATATGAATATGGATTCAATCCGTTCTCATCCTCCCGAATCCCATTTTCCCTCCATTTCTTTTTAATGTCAATCATCTTTTAATCTTTGACGTAGAAATTGCTCTCTTACTTTCCATTCCTTTCACTACCTCCCTAAAAAACTCTATAATTACACTTTCTATCTTCCTCATAATTTTAATCCTAGGCCTATTCTATGAATGAAATCAAGAAGTATTAGAATGAGCAAACTAAGGTAAGTATTTGAATTATAAAATCTGGTTTGCAATTAGAAATTATTGTAAAATCCAATTTTACCTAACAAAATAGAAAGTTAAAAACTTGCATTCAGTTTCGACTTGAACCCTTGGTTAAAAACCTCTATTTTCAATAGAAGCCAAATAAGAGGCATCTCACTGTTAATAAGAAGACTGAAACGATTTCCTATTGAAGAAATACGAATGAACTATAAGAGCTGCTAACTCTTTCATAGCGGTTAAATTCCGTTCTATTTCTATGGTGTAAACAACACTTAATATTTTCATTATTGAAATGTGTAACTTACCCTAGAAATATCATCAGATCAACTAATCACCCTAGCATCTTCAATGCCATACTATTTTTTATAAGGATATGCTATTAACATTGAAAAAGTAAGAACCATAATCCAAACCGCAAAAGATACCAGATGCATTTTTAAACTATTATCCTAAAACCACTGAAAAATCTTAGTCCCCATCATTATCCCTCAAAGACACCTTGAGGGTCTATCTACTCCCTCACTATAAATCACTTTTCAAAAAATAATTCCTTAAGCTTAACTTAGATAAAAGAGGATTTTGAAGACAATCAAGGCAAAAATCACATCATTCCTAAAAAATGGTCAAAACTTCTTCCAAAACAAAAAACAACAACACATATCTTCTCTTTACCCCCCACATAATCAATCCTAATCATAAACCCATTATTACGCATAAAACTCCCATAACCTTATGATAGAAAGGTACAAACACAAAACAAGGCACAGGAAACAAAATTCACATTAAAGGAGACCCTATAATAACCGCCCAAAAAGACATAAAATAATAGAAACTCTTATAATACTCCCTTCCCCGAAATTTCGATCCATAACATAAAAACAATCGAAACGAATAGCAAGCAGTTAATCCCACAGAAATTCCAAAGAAAATAAAGATAAAAAAATCAAAACTATAGAAAGACATACTCTCCAAAATCAAATCCTTAGAATAAAAATCAGCCAAAAAAGGAATTCTACACAAAGATAAATTAGCAACATTAAAACAAGACCCTGCTACAGGTCTAAACTCAATTATACCCCTATATACCTCAAATCTTTAGCCCCACCTCTTCTATGAATTACAGACCCCGCACAAAGAAAAAAGAAGAACCTTAAATAAAGCACGCGTAAGCATGTGAAAGTAAGCCAACTTTGAATACCCGAAAGAAATTGATAACATTATTACTTCTAGCTGTCTCAAAGTAGACAAAGCAATTGCCTTCTTTATAACCATCTCATAATTAGTCTCAACCCAGATATAAATATTGTCATACAAGAAATAAACATTAAAACACAAGAAACAATACCCACTCTAAAATACTGTCTCAAACAAATCAACAAGTAAACACCAGCAGTCACCAAAGTTGAAGAATGGAACAAAGCAGAAACTGAAGTATGAGAAGCTATAGCTGCTGGAAGTCAAGCAGAAAAAGGAATCTGAGCTCTTTTAGTTATATCTGCCAAACCACACAACTTCCTACCCAATGAAACTCCCTCCCCATTTCATCAAAAAGCACACAAGAAAAATAATTTCAATTCCAGAAATTCAATATTCAAACAATCCCGAATAAAATCCCCACATCCCAAATTCGATTAGATGAAACAGTAATTACACCCGTATTTAAAAACCGATTATTTTGATAATAAATCACCAAACAATAAGTAACCAATTCCAAACCATCCCACCCTAACAAAATAGAAATCAAATTTGGTCTTAAAATTAATAATCCTATTGACAATACAAACAACAAAACAAGATAATAAAACCGATTAAGATTTTCATCCCCTCTATATATTGTTCTCTGTAAAAGATCACCGCCGAAGAGATCAATATAACAAAAGATAAAAACATTAAAGATACCCAATAAAAAACTACCATAAACTCCACAAGACACCAATTAATAGAAAATAAATAATATTCAATAAACACAGCAAAATCAGTAAATAAAAAATCATTTCAATATAAACATTAATAACAAAAAAGCCTACAACCCATAAACAGATCAAAAAGGCTCTAGATAATACTCTCGATTACACCTTTGAGACCACAACCCAAAATTCTTTATAAACTACTTAAGTCTTAAAATCAATACAACCATAAATCAAGATTCAAAGCTAATAAATTTAAAGAAACTACACGTAAAAAAATAACAAAAACTCACGTAAATTAACTCCCAGTACAAAAAAACGCTCTACTCTTTCCATGTTGAGTAGAAGAAAACATAATCAAAGAATAATAAGCCGAAAAAAAGATAGCAACCCTAACAAATCACAGTTCACTCTCCCCATCCCACTAATCTTACTATCAAAGAAATTTCACCAAATAAATTTATTGAAGGTGGAGCCGCCATATTAAATACACAAAACAAAAATCACCAAAAAACCAATGAAGGGAATAGTCTTATTATTCCTTTCAACAATACTTATCTTCGAAAGTAAAAGCGCTCATAAACAATATTTACTAGACAAAACAACGCAGAAGAACACAAACCATGAGCAATTATTAACAAAAGAACCCCCCTACAACCCCAACTTCTTAAATTCATCACATCTACTAAAACAATCCCTATATGCCCAACAGAAGAATAAGCAATTAAAGATTTTAAGTCAACCTGACGCATCCATATAAATCTAGTAAATAACCCCCAACCAATCCAACTCTCACCAATCACCCTCCTTGATTTTTCACAAAATCCTGAAATAATCACAATACTCAAAAATAACCCATATCCTCCCAACTTCAATAATACTCCCGCTAATACTATTGACCCCGCAATGGGAGCCTCCACATAAGCCTTTGGTAATCAAAGATGAAGCAAAAACATTGGGAACTTAACCAAAAAACCAAAATCATCCTATCCTAATTCCCCTCAACTCCAAAAAATAGAACACTACACTACCCTCACAATCATACAACCTAAAAATACCTACCAAAAAGGGTAAACAAGCACATGGGGTATATAAAAAAGTATATAAACTCCAGCCTGAAGACGCTCAGGTTGACCTCTCCCCTAACCAATAATTATTAATAAAGTAGGAATTAACACAGACTCGAAAGAAATATAAAAAAAAACAGTAAATCTAAACAACAAAATCTCAAAAATAAAAACATTAAACTTAAAACAACCAAACAGGAAAATTTCACCTTTTCATTATTACTTTTGTAAACCTTATATCTAGCCACCAACATCAAAGAGCAAACTCAACAAGACAATCCAAATCAAGAATATCTTAAATCTCCCCTCAACATCAAGGAAAAACAATTAAATCCAGAAAAATGATAAATAAATAATACACTTAAAAACTTACGAAAACAACACAAAATAAATAACCTCCCACGAACAAATAAAAGTACATAAGCTCAGTATAAATAAATACATAACAATTCCTAACATTCAAGTAACTTTATTCTTGAAAAATAATCATTCCCATGAGACCGAATTACTAAAACAAGAATTCTTAGCCCCAATCTCCCCTCACATACAACTATTGTAAGAAAAAACAATAAAAATCTCCCTCTCCCTAACTTCCTGTAATCAAACGAACTATTAATAAAAATCTCCATAAAACCATAAATTCCAATCTTAACAACATAGATAATAAATGCTTACGATTTCTTAAAAACTCAACAAGCCCAAAAAATACATCAAAACCTCCAACATCATCACATTAAAGTTAATTAACATTAGTTTCCGTAAATGAAGACTACCAGTATTCCTCCTAATATAATGAGAAAGAGGGTGTAAGAAAATCAGGAGGTTTTATAGCAAATATTGTTATTAGGTTAATAAGAATTGTAGATAGAATGATATTTATGATTATTATGATGGGGTGACGGGCGATGAGAAAAAAAATTAAGGAGAAGATTGCTGCTACGGTAATAACTTTTGTGATTTTCAGAAAATAGTTTAAGTTAAAATGTTGGTTTTTGGGGATCAATGATGGGAGAAATTCTTTTTTCTGAATGTTTAAGGGGTAAGCTAACCCTTCTTCGGTTTACAAGACCAAGGTTTTATTTGAACCACTTTGCAAGACTAGCCCCAAACGAGTCTTTCAAACTGCCAACAAAAATATATTTTCCCCCTTATGAGCTCAATTCCTCTTTCATACCTTTTCATTACATTCAAACTACCTAATAACCCAGAAATTTACAAAATCTTCTCTAATCTTCTCCTCCTAACATCTCTCTTTTTAGTGACCTTCCTTCTCATTACTCTTATCGCTGTAGTAAAAATCAGAAAATCTTCCAAGGCTAAATTTCTCAACTCATCCCTAATTGACCTTCCCTCACCATCTAATATTTCATACATGTGAAACTTTGGCTCCCTTCTAAGTCTTTGGTTATCAGTTCAAATTTTAACTTGTATTTTCCACGCTATACACTACACATCAGATATTTCTCTTGCATTCTCCAAAATTTCCCACATTTGCCGTGACGTAAAATATGTATGAATATTCCGAATTGTCCATGCAAACGGAGCTTCCCTCTTCATCTGCCTTTACCTCCACGTGGGACGTGGAATATATTATGGTTCCAACATAAACCACATAACATGAAATTCTGGTATTATTATCCTCCTTCTCTCCATAGTAACATCCTTCCTTGGTTACGTTCTTCCATGAGGACAAATATCTTTCTGAGGAGCAACCGTAATCACTAATCAAATCTCAGCAATTCCCTACATTGGTAAACTTCTAGAACAATGATTATGAGGAGGCTTCTAAGTTGGCAATGCCAACCTCATCCGATTTTTCACTCTTCACTTCATATTACCTTTCATAATTTTAGCAATAATCATACTCCGCCTACTATTTCTCCACCAAACAGGATCTAATAACCCTCTAGGAATCAATAGAAACACTGACAAAATCACTTTCCATCCCTACTTTCCTCCAAAGATATTTTTGGCTTTCTTCTAGCTTTACTAGTATTCTCAATCATATTTCTTACCTTCCCATATTTTCTAAGAGATTCCGAAAACTTCAACACAGCTAACCCCTTAGTAACCCTATCCATATTCAACCAAAATTATACTTCCTATTCGTATATACAATTCTACGATTCATATCCAACAAATTATGGGGGTTATTGCATTGCTACTTTCAGTCCTTATCCTTTTCATCCTTCCACTTACAAATAAATCAAACTTCCGAAGCTTAAATTTCTATTCTATTAACCAATGCATCTTCTGAACTTTAATCTCCACATTTATTCTTCCCACATGAATTGGTGCCCGACCCGTAGAAGAACCTTATGAACTTATTGGCCAAATTCTCACCATTGTTTACTTTTAATATTTCATCATCAATTCCATCTTCCTAAAATTATGAGATAAAATTCTTTGACCATTTAGCTATATATTCCTAAGCTTTTGTTCTGAAAACAAAAAAGAAGCTAATTACTTCTAATAGTCTTATTCTTAATTATATGCAAACAACAATAAAAAATAAACAAATCCAATAAGAAAAAAACAAATAATTTAATGCTAAAGGCAAATAGATCTTTCACGCTCTCAAAAACACTACCCTCTGAACTAACATTCCTCTCAATCCTCCAAGAAAAACCAACACACTAATTAATCTTATAAACAAAATATTTCTATAATCAGCCATAAAAATTAAAGCAAATTCCCATCTTCTATACTCCACATTAAATCCAGACACCAACTTAGACTCCCCCTCCGCAAAATCAAAAGGTGAACGATTTGTTTCACCCAAACAAAATGAAAATCACACAATTGCCAAAGGGATAAATCCCCAAACCATTCATCACTCATCCTGGGCATCTCCAAGTTTAACAAAATCATATCCCCCACCAAAACAACGCAAGACAAAATAATTAAAGCCAATCTTACCTCATATGAAATAGTCTGAGCAACAACTCGATAAGCTCCTAACATAGCATACTTAGAATCTGAATATCAACCAGCCCCATTATAGCATACACCCCAAATCCAGAAACACACAAAAAATAACAACCCTAACTCAAAATCCACCATATTAAAAAAAAAACTGGACTTACAAAATAAAACAAAAAATTCGATAAAAAAAGGAAAACTCTGTTCCCTACAAAATAACCTGATTGCATCAGAAAAAGGTTGCGAAATCCCCATCAGCCCCACCTTATTTGGACCCTTATGAACCTGAATATGTCCTAAGACCCTTCGCTCCAACAAAGTTAAAAAACCACCCCAACCAGAACATAAATTAAAACAACCACATAACAGACAATAAAACTTATTACCAATATTGAAGAGAAGACATACTTCCATAAATGAAGCTTAAATTCATTGCACTAATCTGCCACCTCAATCATTAACCGAGGAACTCCTTATCCTCATTCTTAGATTCTAAATCTAATATACTTATCTGCCAGATTAATTAACATAAAATAAAAATAAATAAAATAAACAAAATTTATACTGCCTGGTCCTTTCTTTCTAAGACATCTTCCTTTACAACCAAAGATAGAAACCGACCTGGCTCACGCCGGTCTGAACTCAAATTACGTAAAGATTTAAAGGTCGAACAGTCCCTCACATAGAACTTCTCCGCCCTACTGACTCTTTAATTCAACATCGAGGTCGCAAACTTCTTCGCCGATAAGATCTCTCCGAAAAGTTACGCTGTTATCCCTATAGTAACTTGCTCTTATTATCACTAAAAGTGAGTGAAAACTTAACACACAAGTATTAAAATACAAAAGAAAGATACATTTCTTTCACTACCGCCCCAGTAAAACTCCATTAACCCTTCCTTAATGTAAACCAATAAGAAAAGCCAAAAAAGTAAAGCTTAATAGGGTCTTCTCGTCCCTTAGTAAAATTTCAGCTTTTTCACTAAAAAATAAAATTCAAAATCTATTTCCAAGACAGATTTTTTTACGTCCAACCATTCATACTAGCCCTCAATTAAAAAGCAAATGATTATGCTACCTTCGCAAGGTCAATATACCGCAGCCATTAAATCACCTTATTGTGCAGGTCCGATTTTTTATAAAAACAAAAAACCCCGTTTTTGATAAACAGGCGAAAAAAATGTTTGCCGAGTTCCTCGAAAAAAAATAACCTAGTTATTCATACCCTTACAATCCTCAAAATCAATTCTAACTCTTCTCACTTCTACTAACACAAACATTTTAAAAACTTGTTAATAATCATCATCATATCCTTGGTCTCAAATTTAAAACAAAACAGAAAAATAAATCTACTATTACATAAAATTATCACTTCTAAATCTACAACTAACCTTTTCTAAAAACTTTATAAAAAATAATTAGAGATTATCCCCTAAATACTCACTTCCTGAAAATAAAAACGAAATAAAAAAATAATTTTTATATTCAAATGCTGAACTAACTCCATTTCTCAAAAACCAGATATCAGAAAGATCGTATAGCATTTCACCCCATTATAAAATAAAACTTAATTTTGCGACACCAATTTCAATTCTAAAATAGCTCTCTTTCCTTCGGAAAAAATAAATAAATAATTTCAATTATTCATCTCTGATACAAAAGGTACAAGATTTAATCTTTTCTAATTACCTTATAAATATTTCATTTTATTTCATTATTCCTTCACATTATTAATCAAATATAACCATTTACAGTTATTCAATACAACTTACTTAACAAGCAATATTACTTTTCAATTACAGACACATAACATTTTAAAAATCAGAGTAATTAGATTTGCACCAATTCCTACTCAGTGTAAATGAGCTGCTACCTACAAGCTCTACTCTGCCCTCCTAGATATATTTTCCAATACATCTACTATGTTACGACTTATCTCACCTGGAAACGAGAGCGACGGGCGATGTGTACGTGCCTTAGAGCCTTATTCACAAACACATATCTAATAGAAAATTACTTTCAAATCCACCTTCAATTCAATTCTTTCAATAAAATATCCGTATTAATAAATTAATTGTAACCCACTTCAAGCTTTACTATTAGCTGTACCTTGACCTGACATAAAAAATACATTTTTCATGATAGCTTTAACTCTATAAAGGCAATCAAAGAAGGCGGTATACAAACTGTAGTGACAAAATAAAGTAAAATTAAACGGGGACCATCGATTAAATGGTATCTAATCTTGGTTTATAATTGAAGCTTCAAGAAAACAAAAATTAATTTATCATCCCCAACTGTGAAAATTTTAACTCCCAAGATGAATATAATAAATACAACACAAATTCATAATTTTAAAAATCAAAAAACTTAACTATGGTCCCCTTGTCTAACCGCGGTAGCTGGCACAATTTTAACAGACCTAATTACAAATCACCGAAAAAATTAACTTCATTGTCAAAGAAATCTAAGTATGTTTATATTGTTTATATAGCTAAAAAAAAAATCTAATTTGGTACAAATTACATTTATACTCGGTATATTCTTATTATTTCTACTTTTTTATATAGTAGAAATACTATATCATTTATCTGAAATTATAAAACTATAATTTAAAAAAATCTATTTCCAAGTAAAATAAAAAATATTTATTTATATGATAATTAATAAATGTGTACCCCCATTATGCTTAAATTGGTTTTATATATTTTTATAATTTATTTATTTTTATGTGGTTTATACTAACATTTAGATGCTAATTAAAATCATAGTTTAATTCACTTTAATCACCCATTTAAGATATAATAGATTATAATTGCTTTTTAGAATATAGATGAGATATTTCTTTGAAAAGTAATTAGTGTAATTACCCAATATTCAAAAAAGTGAAGTGCCTGATTAAAGGGTTATTTTGATGGAATAAACAAAATAGGGCAGTCCTATCTCCACCTAATTCTGATGGCTCGAACCATATCTTTTGAAATCAAAATTCAACGTGCCATACACCAAAAATTAGAAAAGTATGCTAATACAAGCTATTGGGCTCATAACTCACTGATAGAAGTTGTAATCTTCTCTTTTCTAATCTTAACTCTTCTTACCATCAACTTACGTTTCCTTACCACTTCTTATAGGGACAACAATTACAATAAGATATTCCTCTTGACTTATAGCTTGAAAAGAAATAGAGATAAATCTAATAGGCTTCATCCCACTAAGCTCCACCCACTCAAACAAACGAGCCTCAGAAGCATCTCTCAAATATTTTCTTGTTCAAGCAATTGCCTCTCCACATTTCTTTTTTCCTTTTTGCTATCATCCTCCTTTTCCACTTTTCACTTCACCACTCTGTATAATCCCTTTCATGGTTATCTTATCCCTAAGAGTTAAACTGGGAGCTGCCCCTTTCATATATGACTACCAACAATCTCAGAAGGACTATCTTGAATAAACTGCTTCATTCTAATATTATGACAAAAAATTGCCCCCTTTCCATTGTCTCAATAATTTTCCAAAAAAACTTATTATTATCATTTCCATTCTCTCCTCAATCAGAGTATCAATAGAAGGTCTTAATCAAACATCCCTCCGAAACATTTTAGCTTTTTCATCAATCTCTCACATAGCATGAATACTTCTCTACCCTAATTTCAAGAACATTATGACTATTTTATACTTCCATCTACACCATTCTTATCTCCTCAGTTATCTCATGTTTTGCCCCCTTTAATACATTTCACATTAGTCAAATCTCCACAAATCAAAATAAAAACTTAACCCTCTTATTATTATTAATCTCCTCTCTCTAGGAGGGTTTACCAAAATGACTTATCATCTTCTTCCCCCTTCAAATAAACATATTCCTAATAGTTTCAATCCTGATCATCTCAGCTTTCATCAACCTTTATTATTGCACCCGCATTTCTTATTCCTCACTTCTCTTAATAAACACAAACAATAAATGAATAAAAACAAAAACACCACCTCTATCAAAGCAACTATCCCTATCCATAATCTCCGTCTTTGGTCTCATCACTTCCATACTAATATTTCCCCTTTTGGCGTTTTAAACCGTAATAAAGCAAATTCTTGTTAAATGAAATAATTCTGATATTATATGCTTTAATATACTTACTGGAATGGGAAGAAATTTAAATTAATAAGAAATATTAATTTCAATTGCTATAAAATGGGGCAAAACAATTAAGTGAAAGGAGGTTTAAATGTAGTGAGAATAGTCAACATACTGTGCTATCCCCGATTAGTTCGATCAAGGTACTTGATGCTGTATAACTAATGTGTATATATATGGCTTTGCCCGGGATAGTAGGTTGATATATTCTTGATGACTTGTTTTCTGTTTTGACAAAGTGTGAGATAACACAGCCTAGAATCAGGTGCATAAAATATAACATGAAAGTAAAAATATTGATCCAATTTTAAACTTAAATAATAAAAAAAAATTATTTAACGGAGATTCTGAAT